GCCCCCCCAAGTCTAGGACTCTTGAATCCAATCCATTAATATCTTGGTGGGAAGGAACTCCAAGTTACAAACACTTGTCTTAATGCGGTGTTTTTCACCTGGGAACCTACCGGAGATGTAAATCCACACACCTCCCCCTGCCCATTTAGGGAATCAGAAACTCCAAGGTGGGGCCCAGTGATCTGTGCTCAAGTTTGAGAACCGCTGTCTTAGAACTCCAGAGCTCAGTGGGATACCATTCCTGGAGTGGACGGCATGGCAAAGGTGACTCCTTACCCCCAAAGTCCTAGAGAATGGTGGATGGCCCTCTATTTTCTCTGCTTTCTTCAGACTAGCCCTCAAGCTGAGGCAGACTGGTGGTGCGGAGTTAAAAAACCCACGATTCTTGTTGAAGCATAACAAAGTGCTACAGAGCAGCTTCGGCCACACGTGCAGAATAAGATACAGCTGCAGGGACAGCGCTAAGGTTTCACTCCTTTATGTACGTGAATAATTGGCCTTCTAATTATCTCCATAAAAGTGAGAAAACTTGCCTGGCTTATTAGTGCCTTGATTAGCACTAGGAAATCATCAGACACCCTTAATAGCTTTCCAGTGATTTCTAGAGGAGGGAGCCATTTTCAAGGCATCAGCCCCCCACGATTGGGTCATTGCGGAGCCTTGTAGACCCAGTTCACACAGAACGGGGCACTTGCAAAGTCATCTGTGTTGGGATGGGCGCTCGCTCCCTCTCCATCAGCCCAGGCTTCTTTCCTCAGAGCCAGCTGGCAGCGTCCTTCCCAAAGGTTCTGGGAGGAGGGCCCACACCATGATGGGCCAGCAGGGAGGGCTGCCTCAGGACACCCCATCTCTCCTCTGGCCCTGTTCAACCTGCCCCAGTCTCCTTTGAGAAAACACTGTGAGGCTTATAACCTTCCAATTCCCTGACCCCCAGAGCACAGGTTTTGAAAAGCTGAAGGCGATTTGGTTTCTCACCTGGATGGGAGGAGGCTCCTCTGCAGGTCTTGGGTCTCCCAGGGTTGAGCTTAAGGACTGAGTGTTAGGAACAGAATCTGCAAGTGAAGAAAAAGCGAACCTACATTTCTCCAGCAGGTGGCACCATAGCTTTACCTTCCACACCTCCAAGGCCAGGGAAGGCAGCTCTGAGTTTGCAAATCAGGCACGTGAGCTGCCACCCGGGACTCCCCTTCTCAGAACTGAGGACTTGACCTCCGTCCCCTAGGATAGCAAACGAACTCCAACTAACCTCCTCCACACCACTCTTCTCCAAATAGCTTCAATATTTTTGATTCTTTATCTGAGCATCATAAACTTGTCACAAATATTTAGCGATTGTCCTTCTAGACCTGGAGCACCGAGGAAGAATGTGAGCAAGCCACGAGTGTGCTCTCTATCACCCTGAAATTCTGGGGCTTTCCCCATACACCCCCAGCCTCCTCATAGAGAGACTTGCCATCCAGATCTTCTAAAATCTACTTATATTTTTAATCTAATAATGAGATCGCTTGCCTGGCTGACACATATCTCAGAGGTTAGGGGAAGCAGCAAGGAGCACACACTGCAGGATTTAACTCTATAGTCTTTGGAAAGATGAAATCCTGACCAGTAAGTCATACACAGGAGCATACATTTTTATACATGTTTACACAGGACTGTCTCTCTTTGTATAGAATTTCAGAGTTAATTCACCTCATGCAGCGGCTCACCCAGTGTAGGAATGCCTCCCATATGATGACAACTGAGAGAGACATTCCTTTCCAGTGTGCAGATGGTGTTCACAGCTCTTTGAATGCTCATTACTACCTTGTGAGATACACGGGTGACGTGACTTGCCCAAGGATCACAGTTGCTGCTGTCTGATTTCAAACCCAGCACTCTCATGACAACACAGCTGCCTCCCCATCCCCCTTGACTGATGTTTGTCCAGCTCTTCCTGAAAACTGCCTGCAAGGCAGCCTGTTCCACTGGTACCTCTGATTTTGAGAAACACTTTTCCTATTGTCTAATTATCTTCTGCTGCATAACAACTACTCCCAAATTTTAGTGATCTAAAACCACCACCATAGTCTCAGATCTCATGATGTTGTGTCAGGAATTCAGGGGACACTTGTCTGGCTGATTATTCTGCTCCATGTGGCATTGACAGAGGTCATGCCGTGGCATTTAGTTGGCTGATGAGCTGGTCTGAAGGGTCCAGGGCAGCTTCTCTTGCCTGTGTTGCTCCGTGACAGGGAAGATGGAAGCTGGGCTGGGCCTGTCCCCCCGAGCTCCTCTGTGGGGACTGTCCAGCACTCAGGCCTCAGGGAAGCTGGACTTCTTACATGAAGGCTCAGAGGTCCAGGAGAGAATGTTCCAGCAATCAAGATTGTGTGCATGCCCTATTATGACCTAACCTTGGGAGTCCTATCTGCCCTTTCTACCATTTCCTATTTGTTGAAGTAGTCAAGAGGCCCACCCAGGTTTTAGGGGAAGGGAGGTAAAGTCTGCCTCTTGATGGAAGAGTGTAAAAAAATTTGACACTGTGTTTTGAAACCACCACACCTATTGAATTGAAATGAGTTGTTCTATATCTGCCTCTAGCTCCATAGTTACTATATACAATCCTTCTTCTCTATTCAAAACTTTTTGTAAGTTTTAAGGCAGCCTTCCTAAATACCCAAGATTTTGACCCAATCCACAGAATGATCTTTTAGGGTAAGACAAAAAGCAGCCCTGGCTGGTTTGGCTCAGTGGATAGAGCATCAACCTATGGACTGAAGGGTCCCGAGTTCAATTCCCCCCGTCAGGGCACATGCCCCAGTTGTGGGCTGTATCCCCAGTGTGGGGCATGTGGGGGGCAGCCGATTGGTGATTCTCTCTCATCATTGATGTTTCTATCTCTCTCTCCCTCTCCCTTCTCTGAAATCAATAAAAATATTTTAAAAAGAATGAAAAAGCAAATACAGAACTTTCAATCTTACTTTAATTTTACCTATAAAATTTTTAAATGGAGCTTTACTAATATTTCATATATAGGTTGAGGCTGGTACCTACTTTCAGGCCATTTCAGGTGCAAACATGTTACCTGCTGTATAAACGATATTCCAAGAAAAGAGTGAATGTTTACCAAAGGATTGTCAGTGGGGCCCTTAATTATTTGTCTCCCTGGTGTTACACAAGTGCTTGAATGCCAGGCTGATCATGTCTAGTTTTAAGGAAATTATCTATCCCCAAATGGTTAAGACACTCTAAAGGTTTTGGCAAATAAACTTTAGATTAAAAAACTAAACAGTCAATACTAGCAGAACAATGAAATACCAACTACACAGCTATCAGAATGGCCAAATCTAAAACATTGACAACAGCAAATGCTGATGAGGGTGTGGAACAATAGCAACTCTCATTCATTGCTGGTGAGAATGCAAAATGGTACAGCCCCTTTGGAAGACAGCATGGTGGTTTCTTACAAAACTAATCATACTCTTACCATTCAATCCAACAATCATGCTTCTTGATTTACCCAAAGGAGTTGAAAACTATGTCCACGTAAAACCTGCACACACATTTTTACCGCAGCTTTATTCATGATTGCTAAAACTTGGGAGCAACTAAGATGTCCTAAGTAGGCGCATGGATAAATAAACAGTGGTACATCCAGACAATGGCATATTATTCAGCACCAAAAAGAAATGAACTCTCAAGCCATGAAAAAACATGGGGGGAACTTTAAATGCATATTACTGAGTGAAAGAAGCCAGTGAGAAAAGGCTGCATGCTGTATGATTCTAATTACATGACATCCTAGAAAAGGCAAAGCTATGACATCAGTGAAAAGATGCGGGGGCGGTGTTAAGGACGTGGAAGGGATGAATAGGTGGAGTACAGAGGAGTTTCTTTCCATTTTCTCCAATTAGAAAGCCTACAGCCCTTAGGGGGCCACCACAAAATCCTTATTCACATTCTCAGGAAGTCTCTGGCTCCCAACTCATTTGCTGCGAGCCTTGACGGACAGGTCTTGAGCCCAATAAGAAAACAAAGCTCTAGTTCTCAGCTCTGCCCACTTCTTCGAGCTTCCTTTGTATGAAGTGGCCTGTGAGGAGAGACCTGTTTGGGGCATTCCTTTTAGTGATTTCAGGGGTAGGCTGTTCAGAGTTTGAGGTACCTTTACTGTAAATCTCTACAGCAGCATCTAGATCTCCATGGTGACTGCCATCTCTCTGCATCCTTCCCCTAACCTCAGGGGAACAATCTTGACTCTTTGGGCTGATTTGGTATCTGTGATTTCCCCCAAACTCACCAAGTCACCTCAACAACAAAGTGGATAGGAAAGAGCCTCCACTAACTACAGGGTCTCAGGAAAGTCACCTATGACAGCACCCTGAGTCTCACATTCTCATCTGTCCAATGCGTAAGAATTACTTTCCTGCCTACCCTACCTAATTGTGAATGTTAAATAATAGGAGCTTGTGAAACCACTGACACTTTGTAGAGCACCATATAAATGCTGGAAATTATTCATTTCATGGTGTATTTTGCTTTTAGAAATTATTCAGCTTCAGCTTTCCCCTTTCTAATTTCCTCTGCCCCCCAGCTCCCTTCCGGGATCTGGGCTGGGAGGAGAAGGAAGGAGTGACTCACTCTTCCTGGTCCGCCTCCTCAATTAAGCTTCCCGACAGCCTGGCCCACGCACCCGCTTATCCGTAGGCTCGGACCAGTGACCTCCCTCGGGAGTTCAGGTGTCTCAGAGCAGCTTAGCAGAGTCGCCAGTGCTCTGCCTCAGGACAATAGGACATTTCATACACATTATCCTGAAATTGGCATAATCAGAATCAACCAGCTCAGGTGGAATGGAAGTTCTTGTACCACCACCATCTCCATGGGCAGATAAACAGATGGGCTTCCAGTGGGGCAAAACGGGGTGTGGGGGGAGAGGGGGCAGGGATGGGCCGGTTTGTTCTGGTCTTTGAAGAGCAGAGTCTGGGTTGCCCCTGCCTAACCTTGAACCCCAGCCACCAACCCGTGTTAATGGAATGGAATGGCTGTATTACCCCACACCAGCAGGTCCCTGACCGACCAGCACAGGATGAGTGGGGGTGGGGGTGGGGGTGGGGGGCAGAAAGCACACCCAAAGAGGAGAGTATTTCACCAAGCACTCCTCTCAGCCCTCCGGGTCCCGAGTGGGCCTCACCTTCCTGAGCAGAATGGCGGAGATTGGGCCGGAGGAGAGGGAGGGAGGAGCGGGAGGCAGCAGCCGGCGGACTCCAGGGTCCCCAGCTTCCATCT